CTTGAACTTTAACACTTTCTTTGTAGCTGGTGTGGTGAAAACTAACTCCCCATGGAGTGGGGGGTTCCGATACCAATTCTTGATCCTGCTAGGACAGAGAACAGACAACACCCCAACATCACAGAAAGATAAAAGCATAAACGTGTGGCTTGCCCATAGGCTTTGGCAACCAGAGACAGATTCTATTCCTGATTCTGCCAAATATTCCTTGGATGACTTAATCTCTGTGCCTCATTTTCTCAATATTCAAGATGAAAATAAAAAATTTCCAATCTTAGAAGAGTATTGGGGGGCTTAATTCATGCATGTGTTTATTCTGAGCTCTTGAGATGAAGAGCCATATAGAAGAGTAAAAGTGCTCTACTATCTAAGGCCAACCACATCTCACTGGATTAGGTCTCCAGCTACCTCAAGTCAGTCCCGCAGCCCTTGCAACTCTTCCAGGGTGCCTTACAGGAGGGACTGAGAAGAGCTCTCTAGGGTTGGGGTGGGCAACAATATTTAAAAAAGGGGCCACTTCACAAATTTCTGAAGTGGCCCCAGGCCGCCCCAGAAGGGGCAGGGCCAGGAGATTTCTCATGGTCCTCTGCCCACAGACCCTGACTGGCCTGGGGACGGGGGAGCACATGAAGTCTTTATCCCCCCCACCCAGTGCCTAGAGAGAACTGCCAGCTGTTTTAAAACAGCTAGTGGTTCCCTCTAGGCACCACAGCAGGAGGAGACCTCATGTGCCAGAGCCAGGGGGCAGAGGAGCGTGTGAAGTCTCTCACTCCCTGCCCACACCCTGCCAGCAGCACGGAGCAGCTAGAGAGAACTACTGACTGTTTTCAAACAGCTGGCATTTCTCTCTAGCCATGGCACGCCCTTGGCGGGGGAGGAGACTTTGCACGTTCCCCCATCCCCAGGTCTCGATTGGCCTGGGGGCAGGGGAGCAGCAGGGCAGCCGCGGGCCAAATCAAGCTCGTGGAGGCCCCTTTTCCCACCCCCACTCTGAGCAGCAGGGCAGCCGCGGGCCAAATCAATCTCGCGGAGGCCCCTTTCCCCACCCCCACTCCAGGGGAAACCTAAATTCAGCATAAAGTGCTCACAGCAATTCATTAAGTGGAACCTTTTCCTTCAGAGTCTGTGCTAAACCAAAGGACTAAGAATGGTTCCAAAGGGCAGTAGGCAAGAGATGGTGGTGAAGTGACTTAAAACTGGGGTCTTGACTACTGGTGGTCATTAAGAGCTGAATCCAAAGGCCATTGAAGTCAAAGGAGAAGATTATATTCCCACAGAATTTCTGGGGGAAGAGGTGTTAAGGCAAATCTCTTGGCCAAATTCCATGTTAAGTCAGCACATTATTGTGCTAAACCTCCAGAACAGCTCAACTGAACCCAAAATTCTTCACTTCTTATCTTTGTGTAGTGATAATTACCACCTTTCCTTTTTGAGAAGGACTGTCTGTTGGCTAGGGCAAACAACAGTTTCCTTCTAAAAAACTATCTATGGCTATATTCAGCATCAAGAGCAATGGAAATACTGGCACAGATTTCAAGTAATCGGACTTATTTTTCCTCCATAGGAAACAACATATCACTTCACAGCAACTTGATTAGAAAGTGTGGGAACCAAGCAGGAGGAAGAGGCTGGCATTTGTTACCTTGGTAGGGATACTGATAAGGAACAGCATAGGCTTGTCCATTAGAGGCATAGATGACTTGAGGACCAGGAGGGGGATATGCACCATTGTACTGCTCATAGCCATAAACCTAGGGGAATTAAATGGATCTATTAGATGATGTTCCTTTACTAAAGCATCTTTACACCAATTTAAAAGTGCTTTGATTAAGTCTCTACCCAATGCTGGTGCAGTTTAGGAATAATCAAAATCCACTGTGTCTATTTCACAGCATTCACTTTCTACATTCGCATATAGTTAACCACAGTATTTTGCCAGTTAACATCTTCAGTTCCTGTAGCACCAAGCTTAGCCAATGCAGAGCTATAATAATACATACAAGTATGGCTTGCCCATGGTTCCTATATAATCCGGCCTTGTGATATACAAGAAAACCGTGGCCAATTGGCAGTTGACAGGATGGGACCAGTATAATTTTAACATTTCAGATCCCCCATTATAAAAACCCTCTGTTCACACCATTTCTGAAGCCGTCTTTTCTCTGATGTACAGGAACAAAGCATATTGCTCATCTCTGCTGCTGTGCACAATTGGTATTACAACTATTTATAAGTAAGAAATGTGATTGTTCTGTTCCAAAGCCTCAGCAGCAGCATAGATATTACCACCACTATTTGGGTAATATGTCAAAGTCAGAACCTACTGAGGTCAGTAAATATTTTGGTTTTATTGTTGCCACATCCTAATCCAAGCAAACTCTAGTTATTTGCATCGCTATGAAATTCCGCACACAAAGTCCTTACCGATTTTATAAATTTCAGCTTCAAACAGTAAAACCAGGAAGAATTATCAAACAGAATTTTTATCCTGGAAGTGCAGAATTCGTGTCAAAGCCTTTCAAAATGTTATTGCCTCTCCTTACATTAAGGATGTATGCCCAATAGTAAGGCTGTATAGCCACGTTTTACACAAGTAACTTGTAATTTATGGGCACCTCCCTTTTTCTCTACCCAATCTGAGACACCTTAAAAGGGCCTGATTTTAAGAAGTGCTGAGCTCGCCACCGATCAGAAGTCAAGCCCTTTAAAGGTACCTTAAACTGGGCCCCTAAAAATCACTAGTCATTTTTAAAAACCTTGAGCTCTCTCTCTACTGAAAAATAAACCATGTTTAAGAAAAAGAACCAAAGCAACAGCACTTCCAAGGAACAGAATGTCAGGGTTCAATACAGTCTTTTCACATTTGTATTATATTTGTTTACACTCCTACCTCCGGTGATGGGGTAGCGTACGCTGTGTATGGGGGAGGAGCTGAGGAAATTGCGGTTTCATCATACATCACTTCAGAACCAACATAACCCTAAACATGAACAAAGACGACAGTAGTTACTCACTTCTTTACAAACAGAGAGAATTGACTAGAATCGGTGTCCAGCAAGCTAGCCAACTAGCCACATGTGACTATTTGTCCCACTGAAATTGGCTAGGTCACTATAGTGGCTACTGCTTCAGAACTGGTTGGACAGAGAGAGAGTGGCAGCTCTTGCTACACCTCAAAGGCAGAGGCGCTCTATCAACTAATCAGTTAAATATTGACTACCGCTTTTAAATGCGGCCTCCTCTCTCCCCCTCCTCCCCCCCGCTGCCTCTTTCTGATAGAGGTGGGGAGGGTAGGGAGGATAGAGAATGACTAGTCGACTAGCCTTTCGACTAACCGATAAACATTTGCTTATTGGACAGTTGATTACTCCTTAACATCCTTACTCTGCATCCCACTCAGACCATATGTACCTCTCTTGTTGATTACTCCTTAACATCCTTACTCTGCATCCCACTCGGACCATAGGTACCTCTCTGAGAGCCACTGCTTTAAATGAGGAGCTTCATTACAGCAGCACACAATACAGACACAAAAGTTTTCTAGAGGCTATAACTTCATGAGATGATCCACAGCAGGAAGAAAGAGAGTTGTGTCACATAATGCCACAGCAGGACACTCAATAGGGGAGCAAGTTCCTGTCAGATGGCAAAATAGGAGACAGCAATGCAGATCAGCTCCTTGAGTCAACTGTTTTCTCTGGCTCATTAAAGGTAAGAGAAATAAAATGTTTTAAACCGATAGGTCATTGTTTTGAAGTCCAGGTTCAACTGATTAATTTGGGAAGGGGTCACGGGGCAAAGAAGACTCTTCACATGCAAGTTTATATACCCTGCTTTCAGTCACCCTCGAGTAATCCCCCTGAACTCTGTAGAATTACATCAGTGCAACCGAATGCAGGTGTTAGCCTACAAGGATCAATGGTAAAGTTCACAGCTGCACCCAAACATTTTGTACCAATGACAAGCTTCTCAGCAACCCACGCTCTTTGCCTACAAATAAGAGACAAACCTGAAATTAGCAAATCTATATTTAAAAGCCCCCTTCCTTCAACTGTTGGTAGAAACACACGTAATTTAAAACCTTGCCACTGAAGGATTTTAGACGCACCCTCTGCTGAATCTGTTTCCCGTGCGAAACACACGTAATTTAAAACCTTGCCACAGAAGGTTTTTAGACGCACCCTCTGCTGAAAGTAATTCACACAGTAACTACTGCTGGCTTCCAGCAGTTTGTTTATATATTTCAGAATGGCCTTAAGATTTTTGCCCTAGTTGTGATGATACACAATGCTGCTCCTATTCAGCCAGAGGCTTTGCATAAGGAAAAGGCTAACTTTATAGCTGTACGGATCCCAGTAGCTCCTAAAAATATTCTCTCCCTCTCTCATGCTATTGGAGATGGATTGCAGAATTTCTCTGACACATTTTAGCTTTGGGTCTCTACTCATATTTGTGGTTTTATTAGAGATTCTAGGGGACTGGAAGTTACTTTTGATTTGTCCCATGTTTTCCTTCCATGAAGGGAGAGGATTTCACTCCCCCCCCCCCCCAAAAAAGATGAGGAGCTCATTGTTAAGTGCCCCAAAGCACTGCTCCTGCAAAGGTACACTAGTAGCTTTACACCTGTAAGGATTTTCACTGAACTCACAGAATCCCTCAGCTGTGTGAGGGTTTACAGGATCCAAGCCTATGGAGCAGGACCCAGTTAACCCCAGCAAAGTCAGTGGGTGCAACTGGATGCTCAGCACTTTTCAAAGTACGACCACTTAGGGGGGTGCTGGCAGATGGACTGTGACCACTCCTGGGCTCTTACATATTTGAAATTTTCGTAGAGGTTTAACAGCAGAGAACATCTGAAGGTCATTCTCTGCGGCCTCATCTACACTGGTAGCAGCTTGTGGTAGTTATGTAGCTTCAAGTTGTAGTGAAAACAGCCTGTGTCCACAAAGCAGTGTACTGCTATGCTGAGCAGCAAAAGGCTCAGGCAGGGGCTCGGCCCCACCCAAGTCTTTCACTGTGGTGCAGAAAGGCTCCAGCAGCGGAGCATGATCTTGCTAAAAATACCAGTGGAGACATGGGAGCACTGCTTGGGCATGTGAAGAGTGGTGCAGAAAACATACCCTCAGGTTCTGGCACGCCTTTACTTTCTTAAGCAGTGCCTGAGCATCTACGCTGCCATTTATCCCTTGTTGGGGGAGGAGGGGCATGCAGTGTCTGCACACACTACCGTAAGCGTAGATACAGCCTGAGACATTAGTTAGGGTGACAGCTACTAGTTGTACACTCTAGATCACCTGCAACCCATTCACAAATCAGTTAACTTCAACACGGAGGTTACTGAACGTTTAGAAAATTCTATGTGCAAGGAAAATGACTCCAGGGTAAAACAGGAGTTTCTCGGAGTCTTCACAGAAATCCATTCCTTTTAAGGAAGTTAAATGGCAGTTATCTGGCTAATTGTGTACTCAATGGAGAGGCAGCAGCACGGAGGGTGAAGGTGGCAGGCTGGAACTAATACACACGGGGAGCCAGCTGTTGGCTCTCTGCGCATGCTGGCTCCATGGGACCATCTCCTCCCACCTCACTGCCTCCTACAGAGGAGGCAGGAGCCGGTGCTGGAGGGAGCCAGTTCCCCCTAGCACAAGCTCTGTGGTGCCACCTATCCCTGCCTCCCAGCAGAGGCAACAGTTTGGGGGAGTGGTGGAGGAGGCTGCCATGAAGCAGCATCTGTCTATGGTGGCCTAGGCTTGCCATGAACAGAGGCTTATCCACAGCAGCAGTCCCTGTCCACGGGGGGTCTGAGCTCCCCACAAACAGAGACTGCTCTGCATCCCACGGAGCAGACTCTGTCCATGGGGAGCTTGGACCCCCAAAGACAGGGGCTGCTAAGGACCAGCCTCTGTCTGCAGCACCCAGCTTCAAAGCAGCCTCCCCTAGCACCTCCCCTCCCTGGTAGCAGCCTCTGTCCACAGGAGCTGTAGCAGAGGCAGCAGCACAGGGTGGCAGGGGGCTCCCTGGGAGTAGGGCCAGGAGCACACTGGCTGGCGCTGCCGCCCCCGCCCCCACGAACTATCAAATAATCGTGTAACCGATAAGATTTCATGCGGTTACATGACTACTTAGTTACACTATATCTAACATCCCTAATACAAGATAGAATATTTGGCTCAAAAGACACAAACAATGTTAATTGCAAATACAAACCATACATTTCAACATATAGTTATCCAGTTTGAATATGATTATGAACCATTCTACCTGAAGCCCAAGTTTCTGAAGGTATTTAGATATTGCATGATTTCACACAACTATACTAGGCATACAGCACACAAAAGCACATTTTGTATCTCCTACAAATGAGTCTGGCAACTACATAAGTGTAGCTGCCACTCATTTCAGCTAGAAGCTTCTCTACAAAGACACCCAACTCCACCACTATCTGGTTTCTTTTCTGACTACCAGCATTGAGATGGGCCTGATCAAGCTATGAGCAGTGGGAAGGTCAAGCTGTATCTTAACCAGATACAAAAGAATTCATGAGCGCCCACAGTCCCAATCCTCATTGTTCATCTACAGATCAGCCTTTTCCCCGCCACAGTATATCCACCAGCTGTCTGACGCTCCCCCTTCAACGTGCCTTACAGCACAGTAGCTGCGGGGCTCCAAAGAGCACGCCTCTCCTTTAGCCGGTGTGCACAGCCACAAGCCTGCCTGCTACCAGAGCTGTGGGCACCAGCTCCATGGTGCTCACACCCCTTCTGGCTTAGGTAACAAGGGACAAAGCACAATCATCCAAATGGGTGCTTGAAGGCAGTGAGAAGAAAAATTGCCAGGCCTCTGACTGCCACTCACACATACTCCCTCCTTTCCCCATCACCATGGCAACATTCACAGTGCACTTACTGCATTTGTTCTAGCATCCTGGAGTGCAATTTTCCATGCCCTGCAAGAAACAGATTATGTACTGGATAAAGAGATACTCCACAATTCTAAGGTTTTGAATAAAATGCAGTTAGCAATTAAAAGGTACAGTAGGAACTACGTTTCAGTAGACAAAATGATATGTTGAAAAATGTATATCAAAGTTATCGTGGATGTGGGTAGCCTCATGTTACGCTAAGACATATGCGCCAAGGGATTTGTGGGAAGGACCAAAGAGGCATTTACGCCTCTGTTCAGTCCCTAAGCCCACGACAGGAGTAATGGGTGCTGTTCTGGGGCTCCTTGTTTGAATACAGAGAAGGGCAACAAACGAAGAGCCAGGCATGAAGATACAGGAGACCAGCAGCAACCTTGATAAAGGGGCATCACTATGGCAATAATGATGAGTGGGGTAACGGAGACATGTCCCCGCAATCGCTTGAGCAATTGCACCTCTGCAAACGTGTAGCCTAAAAAGCAGAGAAACAAGGGCCCATATCAAAGGAACATTCTTCCTCTTGGCATTCACTGGTGTGAAACACCCTTGAGGAATTTCAGAATATTTGGGGCTCATTCTTGGGCCACAAAGAGCCAAGTACAACATTCTTTGGAAACTCACAAGCAGTCATCTGCACTTTCTGCACAGAGATTGATCGTCTTTCCATCCCGACAAACAATCTGCAGCACACAGTCTCTCGACCTCCCCTCTGGAGGCTGGAAATCTAGTTCAGAAAAACAAAGCAAACGATTTCCATTTAATACTTAGGAAAACACTAGCCAGAGTGCTACACTCCCACTTAAAGGCAAGGAGACAGCTGGATGGGGCCCTGTATAAATGAGCACCAGCCTTGACCCCTCTGTGCTGGCTGCACACTGAATACAATGGCAAGCCAGAACACGGAACAAGAGCTGCAGCTTCCCCAGGGCAACTTCACCAGTCAATGCTGTGACTTCTGCCACAGTTCAGCACTTTACCCAGAATGCATGCCAGCAGACTCTGTCACATGCCACAGACTCCCCATCACTCAAGCAGTTTTATATGTGAATTGTGGCAACCACCAAGATAATCTACCACATGGCAATGCCATATGTGAGAAACATCTCCCTTTGTTAGTTTAAAATTTCCTTCTCAATTCCATCCCTGTAAAGTAAAAAAATACATGTT